GAGTTCTGATGCTATGATTGGCCAGTTTGACCACCCTGCCGGGCTCAAAAGGAGGCCTGCTAGAGGCAGAACTCGCACTGACTGCTGGTTGAGGAAGATGTGCTGCTGAAAGAGACACGCGCTCCTGAAAGAGACACGTGCTGCTGGGAAAGAGATGCAAGAGACATGCCTTGCTGAGTGAGACACTGAGGGACATGCACTGCTGGGGGAGACACTGTGAGAGACTTGGCTGAGAGACGGTGGGCTGGGAGAGACACTGAGCGTTTTTCCTGAACTTGAATTGTAGCCTGGTGCTTCCCTAATAAACCCCGTAATCTGTGAGTTCTGCGTGGCCACTGCAGCGAATTATCGAACCCAGAGGAGAGGTGGTGGGTGCTTTGGGAGGAACGGTTGGTGAAAGGGCTGGAGGGAGGCGGCATGTCTGGCCTGGCAAGAATAGGCCTTGGGTTATTGATGGTGACTCTGTCTTCCTTTTGTGGGGTTAGAAGAGGTCGGAACATGTGGCCTCCTTGTTGTTTCTGCAGTCCCACAGCTGGGATTTGGACTCTAATTGGCCGGAATTTGAAGCCCTTGTCTTAACCCCAGAGGCTGGCCTGGTATGTGTGTTGTATGTGATGTGTGTGTGTGTGTGTGTGTGTGTGTGTGTGTTAAGGACTTCCAGGCTGCAGAGCTGGGAAGACACTTAAGGGATGCCCTCTGTTTGATGGTGGGGAGTCTGAGGTTCAGAGGGAGCAAGTTTTTTTTAACTGAATGACCTGCCTGTTTGGAGTCTGCATGTGTTTTAAAAAAAACAGCAACATCTTCTGACTTTGTTTTATATTTATTACAAAGACAAGAGCAGACACTGGCAGGCTGGCCCTCCCACCCCCTGCCAGATAGTCTCTGCAGAGCTGGAAAAAAATGGTGTCTTCCTTGCTCTTCCACTGGGTGGGGAGTGGGGGCGCCTCCTGCCTCCTCCCCCCAACCCAGGCCCTGTTCCTTGAGCTCCCCAGGATCCAGGACTCCCTCCTACCCTAGGACCCAGGAGTCCCAACTCCTTAGACACCTCCACTTCCATCGTGTCTATAGCAGCATACCAAAAAGCAACTCACTGCATTCAAGTCAATGCCGACTCATAGCAACCCCCTTTGGGTTTTCAAGGTGGTAAATCTTTACAGAAGTAGATTGCCCAGTCTGCCTTCTGCAGAGTGGCTGGCAGCACAGTGTGAAAATTTTCCATGAAGGTATGTGTGTGCATGAGGAGGGTGACCATTTTCCCAGTTGGGGCTGTAGGGTTGGGCCAAGGCTTCCCTCCTTAAGCCAATGTTGCCTCCAGCAGCCACCAGGGAGTCAACCCACCCTGAGGCGGGCCCCTTCAGTCCTCACACTGGAGGTGCTTTATCTGAGGGAGGGGCTGTTGGGTCAGGAGTTGCAGGGCCAATATCCTTGACCTCATCCCCTGGACAAGTAATCTGGTTCTTCCTCCGTGGGTCCTGGAGAGACAGACAACAGAGAGACAAGTGGACAGGCAGGGCAGAAACCAGAGAAAGAAGAGGAGGGAGACAGCAAGTTGGAGAAAGACAAAGACCAGGTGGACAGAGGAAGAATGAGGAGGGTCAGTGTTCCCAGGGACCACAAACCAGGGTACAGGTGGCATTCAGAAGGATGGACGGAGCCCAGGGACAGGCAGAGAGAGACAGAGGCCAAGCAAAGAAAGGGAGAGGAAGACATGGAAGGTCAGTGCCGGGGGGCGGGGGAAATGGACGTCTCCTTCCCTCCCCACTGGCCCAGCTCCCAACTCAGACTCTTTTCCTCCAGACAGAGCTGGAGCGGAAGAGCAACGGTGACCTTGTCTCCGGGCCACCCCCACCCCCTGAGCCACACAGGGCGCTGGCCACTGGCACTTCCTCCAGGACACCTTCCTGCCTGAGTCCCAGCCCCCTCACCAGCTACGTGGTCTCCTGGCTGGATTCTGGAAGCTGCCGCGGCCCCAGGGCAGTACTGAGCAGGTCGGTCAGGGCATCCAGCTTGCCCGCCAGCACCTCGATGCGCTTCTCCAACACCCGGTGGGAGCTGTTCAGGCCCAGCTGCAAGTCACACAGGATCATGTGCATCTGGGGAGGCAGAGAGGGTCGAGGGTCAGCAGCCCAGGCAGGCAACAGAGCCGGCGTCTACTAAGTAATCTCCGGGTGGCCCAAGAGGCTCGACCACGTGCCAAAAGATTGGTGGGTGGCTGGAACCCACGCTGAGGGGTCTTGGAAGACAGGCCTGGTGACCTGCTTCCGAAAGGTCACAGCCTTGAGAACCCTCTGGAGCAGTTCCACTCATGATGACACATGTGGGGTCACTGGGGTTGAAATCAACTCAAAAGCAACTAACAGCACAGGTTTTGAAGATCATCCAGTGATAGTGGTACCACTGACCACCTACCACATCCCAGGGACATTGCCAGGGGCTTTCTTGCCTATGTTATACACAACTGCCCCACAGGGTTCCAAGGCTGTCAATCTCTACCCAAGCAGAGCCCAAACCAAACCCACTGCCATCTAGTCTATTCCGACACACAGTGCCCCTAGAGGACAGAGGAGAACTGCCCCATTGGGTTTCCAGTGCCTAAGGCACTTGACTGCTTACCAGAAGGCTGGCGGTTCAAACCCACCAGCCACTGCTCGGAAGGAAGGTTGGGCAATCCTACTTCCATAGTGATACTGCCTCGGAAACCCAAGGAGGGGTCGCTATGAGTCGGGGCCGACTGGACGGCAAACAACAACAACAACAACAATCTTTACAGAAGCCAACTGCCACCTTCTTCCCACTGAGTGGCTGGTGGGTTCCAACTGCCGACTTTCCAGTTAGCGGCCGAGCACTTAACCACCACACCACCAGGGCTCCTTGCATGGTTTATAATCCTCCCAAAAGCCATGGGGTTAGGAATCTTGTTCCCATTCTACAGGGAGGAAACTGAGGCCCAGAGCTGTTACATGACATGCTCAGGGCAGCACCTAGAATCGAGCCTGGAACACAGTCGTTAGCTGCAGTCAAGTCGGCCTTCGACTCCTGGTGACTCTGCGCACAATGGAACGAGATGCTGTCCGGTCCTGCACCAGGCCCCTGACCTGTTGCTGATGGGGCCCTTATGCCCTATAGGGTTTCCACTGGCTGATTCTCAGAACTAGATGACCAGGCCTTTCTTCCAGTCTCTCTCAGTCTAGAAGCTCCATTGGAGCCTGTTCACCATCAGAGCAACTTACAAACCTTTGCTGACAGGTAGGCGGTGGCTGGGCATAGGGTGCACGGGCTGGGAATGGAACTCAGGCCTCCTATACAGCAGGCATTCATTACGTGCTCACTCATGGCCTTGTTGGCTCCAGACAGCCCTTTGACTACATTCACAGCTTCATCCTCAGTGGTTTGTGAACTTGCTATGTAATTTCTTTTTTTCACCTCAATAGAAATTCTTCATTTCTGGGTTTTTGGCTTGATAATCATCTTGGTTCCCAAGTGCTGCTTTAACAGCCACACCACAAGTGGATGGCTTTACAAATAGGAATTTATTCTATTACAGTTTATGAGGTTAGAAGTCTGTGTTCAAAGTCCCAGCTTTAGGGGATGGGTGAAGGCCCCTTGACCTTGGGCTTCAGCTCTGCCTCTTGCTCCAGGCCCATTGGGGCTGGAGGCTTCTTGTAACTCATGCAGCAGCTGGCTGCTGAGGCTGACAAACCCAAGATCGACAGGTAGAAGGGTACAGTCCCAAGATCAGGAGACGACATTGCAGGCCACTAGTTCAAGTCCAGGAACAGTCCCAAGACGGGCAGGCAACATGGCAGCCACTGAGATGATGACTCAGCCAAATGCAGAATGGGCCAAAAGCTAGAGACCTTTCTCAAAGCTTTTTGCTATATACTGAGAGCGGGCCACACCTGCTAGGCAGCTACTTAGCTGCTCACAGCAGATTCCACCCTGGAGGTGATTACAATCTTTTCATCGGGAATAATTACATCCAGTTGCCCAGACACTCCAAACCATGGCCCAGCCAAGTTGATACACAACCTTAACTACCACAGTCACCTTCAGAAATCACAACTTGCCGTTTCTGGCAGATCTGGGCCACCACCTCCTCACCAAGGCCTAGCCTGAAGCTTGGGGGACCTGCCTCTGTCACTGTGTTTACCACTGTTTGAACAGTTGTGGACTAATGAGAAAAAGCAAAGCCCCTGGATAAGCCAAAGGCTATGTGTGACTAGCCAAGGTGGCGTGACATCACTGTCCCGAGTGCTGGCAGAATCAAGTGATTGCAAAAGAAGAAAGGGTGGCTAAGCTGGCACCATGCCAGCTTGCCGAAAGTAACTGTGGACACCCCACTGGGATAACAAGAGTCTAAGCTTCAGTACAATGTTAGCTGTGTTCCTACTCAGGTAGGCAGCTTGAATTTTTTATTGGTTTTGCCTTCTATGTTTGAACTTGGTTTGTAAATTTGCTTTGGGTTTCATTGTTATATATGCATTGTAGCTGGAAGGAGTTTTATTGCTGTCCACATAGAAGGAACTTAAGGAGGCTTGGTGGTGCAGTGATTAAGTGCACGGCTGCTAACTGAAAGGTCGGTGGTTCGAACCCACCAGCTGCTCCTTGGGAGAAAAATGTGGCAGTCTGCTTCTGTAAAGACTTCTAGTCTTGGAAACCCTGTGGGGCAGTTCTACTGTGTCCTCTAGGGGCGCTGTGAGTCAGAACTGACTATGGCAATGGGTTTAGTTTGGTTTTGGTAAGTAACTTGACAATAAAAATAATTACAAATCAAACACAGGGGTGTTCTTTGCACGATTTCTTTTTTCCTTTTTTGTCATTTAAAAAGGATCTCTGTCATAAATGGTCCCTGGGTGGTACAAACAGCTGCCAACAAAGAGATTGGAGATTTGAATCCACTCAAGGTGCCTTGGAAGAAATGCCTGGTGATCTGCTGAAAAATCAGCACACATGGCACCATGAGCCAGAATCAGCTCAAAGGCACTGGTCTGGCTTCGGATGCCTTCAATGTGTTTCAGAAACTCTGCCTTCAATCACAATCACAAACGTTTGTTGAGCTTCTGTGGGCCAGGTCTTATGTGGCCCCCATTCTAGGCCAGATTTCCCGGCCAGTGGCCCCAGCCCACCCTTCCTCCAGACCCCCTCCCACAGGACTCCAGTACCTTGGAGATGTCCACCATGGAGTTCACTTGTTCCCGGAGTTTCCGGTGTTTCAGCCGCACCTGGCGGAACCTGGGAAGAGGAAGTGGTGGACCAGTTCTCAGATAAGCCCAGTCCCCAGATGTGGCCCGAGCTCAAGAGTGGATAAGGGGAGGAGAGCCCCCCCCACCACAGACACAGTACAGAGAGCTGAGGGGTGGGAGAGAGTGGCTGCACCCTGGGCCTAGCCCTGGTAGAGACCCAGGTAGCCAGGTACCCAGACTGAGGTCACAAACCCACAGACACTGAGACACGCATGGATACACCATCAAACATGCACACACAGCTCTGGACCACAGCCTCATGAGAGGAGCTAAGCAAGAAACATCCAGTTATGCTGCTCCTGAGTTCATGACCCTTGGAAACCATGTGAGATATAAATATGTGGTGTTCTGAGCTCTAGTGGCATAGTGGATAGGGCATTTGGCTGCTAACTAGAAGGTTGATGGTTCAAATCCACCAGCCATTCTGCAGAAGGAAGATGGGGCACTCTACTTCTGTAAAGATTTATAGCCTTGGAAATCCAATGGGGGTCGCTATGAGCTGGAATTGGGAGCTCTGGTAGCATAGTACCTAAGGCACTTGACTGCTAACCAGAAGGCTGGAGGTTCAAATCCACCAGCCACTCCTCGGAAGGAAGGTTGGGCAATCTACTTCCATAGTGATACTGCCTCAGAAACCCAAGGAGGAGTCGCTAAGACTCGATGGCACATAACAACAACATGAGCTGGAATTGACTCGATGTGAGTGAGTTTGATTTTTTGTTTTTTTGGTGCTTTGAGCTGTGAAATTTAAAGGTAATTTGTTAGGTAACAGTGGCTCTAAACTCACTGCCATTGAGTCCACTCTGATTCATAGCAGAATTTGGGTTTCCATGACTGTACATCTTTAGGGAAGTAGATCACCCAGTCTGCTTTCCGCAGAGTGGGTGGTGGGTTTGAACTACCGACCTTCTGATTAACAGTCAAATGCCTTAGACACTGCACCACCAAAGCACCTTACAGTAGATCTAATTCTATTTTTAAAAGTCACTGTTACATTAGATCTAATACTATTAGAAAAAAACCCATCACTGTCGGATGCAAGCGGATGTGTGTTCAGACCCACTGTGGGTGTCCTGACCTGGACAAGGGGGTGCAGACACATGCACACACAGGCGTGTGCACACACTGGACAGAAAGAGGAGGGGCTGTGAACACAGGTGTGCACGTGGACACGCAGCGAGGCCCTCACGTGTTGATGGCGGCCAGCAGCCTGCGCTGATGCCTCCGGGCGCCTCCAGAGTCCCTCCTGCGTGTGTGTCTGTAGAACAGCCAAGCCTCCTGCAGCACTCGGGCAGCGGACTCCTTCATCTGGGGACAGGTGGCCCAGCGTCAGCGGAGGCGGGGTGAGGGAGGCGGGCGGGGCGGCGCCGACTGCGACTGCGGGGGCCCAGGGAACTGGGGGCTGCGCTCCCCCGGCTGACTGAGGAGGAGCGGGGCTTCCTGGCTTCCGGGCTCTCGCTGGCGGGGATGTGGTCGCGGTGCTGCAGGCCCGCCCTCACCTCCTTGGTGTACTGGATGTCCATCATGAAGTTGTGCACGTGCTTTTCGGCTTTGTTAAACTCCAGCTTCCGGGCCACCACGGCCACCAGCAGGGCTGTGCAGCACACTCCCTGTGGGTACAGCGGGCGCTGTGAGCTCTGTGGGCTAGCCCTGCCGCCATCTCTCCTTGACCCCTCTCTACAGGTATGACCGCCCTCCACCCGCAGACGCGCAAACTGAGGCTCAGACAGGGGACCGAGGTCCCACAGCTCGGAAATGGTGGGGCAGGGATCTGAGGCCAAATCTGGGGCCTCGTGTTCACAGGATCAGAATTCTGTTTTCATAGGAGGGGAAAGGGGCTGGTGCCCGGGCTGGGCTCGGGGCCTTGGGCTTCGGCAGGAACCTTTCCTCTCACATGCCGTGGGTCACCAGCTCCAGCCACCATCAGGGGCTCCCCCTCCCCCACCCTCACAGCCTCTGCCCCAGCTCTGGCCCTCCCTCCTCTCCTGGACCACCTCCAGCCTCCTGCTGCCCCCACCCTGACCCCAGAGGGACCTAACACTCAGTTATGACCCTGCCACACCCCCTCAGCTAGGCTCCCACTGTCCTGAACTTAGTTCAAGGCCTTCCAAGGTCTAGGCCTCCTGCCTCCATACCCTGCCTCTGCCCAGCCTCCGTCCCAGACAACTCACAGCCCTGGCCACGTGCTGCCTCACCTGCCTGAGCACCTGAGTCAAACGTTCATCCACCCTCCTCCCTTCCTGCTCCCAAGGCCCTCGAGCCTTTCTTTAAAAAAAAAAAACAAAAAACACCAGTTCTTTGCCATCAAGTCAATTCTAACTCATTTCTTGTGGAGTGGAGCTGAACTGAGGAGCTGAACCATTGTGACGGTACAATGGTTAAAGCACCCGGCTGCTAACTGAAAGGTCAGTGGTTTGAACCCACCAGCGCGTCCAGGGGAGAAAGATGTGGCAGTCTGCTTCCATAAAGACCACAAATTGCCCGATGCGGCAATTCGACCCAGTCCTATAGGGTTGCTAGGAGACGGAGTTGACTTAATTCATCTTTATGGAAGCAGGTCACCAGGCATTTCTTCTGTGGCACCGCAGGACGGACTCAGAACCTTTTCATGAGTGGCCCAGGGCAAATGGTCTGCATCACTCAGGGACCTCTTAGATCCTTCACATCTGCCCATCAAATCCCAATGACTCTGTGACCTCGGTTCCTTCCTCCTCTGAAGCACCGCCCCTCAGAGCCAGGTGTTCTGCTCTTGACCAATCAGAACACTTTAACAATCAGACACATTGGTTCTGGGGATGCCTGGCCTGTCTTTCTTTGGTTATCTTGGGACAGCGTCAGGGGGCTGGTGGCTTGGGTCCATGAAGGTGTAGGGAACTAGATCTCATGGAGAGGTGAAGGCCAAAGCATCTGGTGCCAGATTCTGGAGGGGGCTAGGGGTTGGGTGGGGGGAGCTGGAAGCCTGGGGCTAAAGGAGGAAGGGCGGGGAGGGCTGGATGCAGGGGGAGGCAGACTCTGAGGAGGAGGCTTGAGTCTGGGGTGGGAGAGCCCCTGTAACAGTCCTTGAGGGCACAGGGGCTGGAATGGGGGCTGCTGAGTACCTGGGACCAATAACGTAACGGGTCTCCCCCTTCCTCATTTACTGAGCACTTGCTATGTGCACTGTTTGAAGCCTTTTCCATAGTTTAACTCACTGATCGCAGCACTCCCGTAAAGAATGCACTAGTATTGGTAGACTAGTTTTACAGATGAGGAAGACTGAGGCACAGAGAGGTTACATGGCTTCCCTAAGCCAGCTGGGAAATGGCAGAAGCAGGATTTGATCCCAGGCAGCCCTTCAAGCATGCTCTTGATGACTAGACTCTGTGGCCTTATAGGGGCTGGGGGCTGGGAGACTGAATTTCTGGGTCCTGAAGAAGGCTGGAGTCACTGAGTGGTTGTGTTGGTGGTGGTGTTTGTTGTTTGCCGTTGAGTGGGACTGATTCATAGTGACCCCTCCTTGGGTTTCCGAGGCAGTATCATTACGGAAGTAGATTTTCCCATCTTCCTTCTGAGGAGTGGCCGGTGGGTTTGAACCACCAGCCTTCTGGTTAGCAGTCAAGTGCCTTAGCCACTATGCTACCAGAGGTCCTGAGTGGTACGACCACTGCAGTGAATTACTTAATGTGGCCCTTCTAGCCATCATCTTTCGAACTCCCACCAAATGAGTGGGTGGGACTATGCAAATGTGGTACTTGTGGCCAATCAAGGGGATCAGAAAGCATATTAATAATGTAAACCCTTGTGGGGGGTGGGACTATGCAAATAAGGTGTATGGAACCCTAACACTGAGATTGGTCAGTCTGACCATCCTGCTAGGCTTAAAATGAGTCATTCCAGAGACGGGATGGTGAGGGATGCGGGGTGAACCCGAGTACCAGCAAGGAGAGATGGGAGAGGAGCATGCCCTTTGGACCTGGGACCCTTTGCTGAGAACCTCCTTGACCCAGGAGACAGAGAGGGAGCTGGAACACCTTGCTGAGACAGCAGGACGCAATGGCAGAGACACGGTGGTAGCAGAGCCAGGAGAAGGCGGGCGGAGGTGAGTTGGGCGTCTGGACCCACACAGCGGGGAGTCTGAGCACCTCCGGCAGGAGGCTTGCTGGTGGAGTGAGCTGCCTCTAGGCATTTATGGGCAGAGCTAAAAGAGCTTGCTCAGTCAGGGCAGAGGCCAAGGGGACGCGAGGCTGAGAGCCAGAGAGAGACATGCCTGTGTGGACTGCTGGGAAGAGGCTGTCCTGATTGAAGAACTGTATCCTGAGTTGATCCTGATCCTGAATCATTACCTGTTACTTCCCTAATAAACCCCATCGCTGTGGGTATTATCTGTGAGTTCTGTGTGGCCACTGCAAGGAATCATCAAACCCAACAGAGATACAGAGAGTGCCGTGGGAGGTACAGCTGAGGTCAGAATTGGTGAAAAGGTTGCAAGGTGGGGGCGTGTCTGAGCTCCACCTCATAGAAATTAGTTCTGGGCTGATGTTGATGGCGATTCTCTCTCCCCCTTGTGAAGTTAGGGTCAGACGCCTCCGTCACGCCATCTTTACAGTGGTGCAAACAGTTAATGTCTCAGCTGTTCATGCAAAGATGAGTGGTTCGAGTCCACCCAGGGTGCCTTAGAAGAAGGGCCTGCTGATCTACTCTGCCAAAGCGGCCATGGAAAACCCTGAGGGACACAGCTCTGCTCTGACACACCTTGGATCACCATGAGTTGGAATTGACTCAACAGCAACCGGCTGACTCTTGGTTGGAGGAGCCTACAGCTGAGAAACGAGGTGTCTGAGTCCTAGACATTTTAGAAGGTGGGATCCAGGGTGCCTGAGCCTTCATGGGACTGGGGACTGGATTCCTAGATTCTGGAAGGAAATGGCGCTGGGAAGTCAGTGACCTGGGTCCCTCAGGAGAAGGAGGGCTGTGGTCCTAGGTTCCGGACAGAGCAAGGACATGAAGGTTGGATTCCTGAGTCTGAAAAGGAAATGGGGCTGGACGTCTTGATCCTGGAAGAATCATGGCTATGGAGGTGGGGTCTGGACACTGAGTTTCTCGGGGGTGCCCCTGGGAGCTTGTGCTGGTGCTGAGGACCTCCGGGACACAGGGATGAGTAGTCTGGGACAGGCGTAGGACCCCTGAGGGGACGGTACTCACCATGACCCCCGTGCAGAGGCAGATGATCTTGCCCCACATGGTGCCTGGCACCACGTCCCCGTAGCCGATGGTCAGAAATGTGATGGGGATCAGCCACAGTGTGTCCAAAAGGTGGCTCGTGGCATTAATGGCCTGTCTACGGGGAAAGGTGGGTTAGTTCTGAAACCCTGCCCCAGAGGTGTCTGTCTGCTTGCTACCCTTCCCCGCAATATGCCCACCACAGCCCCAAGAAGCACTCCAACCAAGTGATAAGGATAGGGACTCCAGTCAGCTTTCTCATGCTGATGGCTTCCCTCATCCAGGATGACTGTCCTTGTTCTGTCCAAGCTCTGGTGGCCTAGTGCCTAAGGTATTTGACTGCTAACCAGCAGTCTGGCGGTTCAAACCCACCAGCCACTCCTCGGAAGGAAGATGGGGCAATCTGCTTCTACTTCTGCAGAGATACTGCCTTGGAAACCCAAGGAGGAGTTGCTATGAGTCAGATTTGACTCGGCTGCAGGATGCTCAACTTCTCTGGGCTGTGGGATCTGAACCTGGGTCTGGCCCGTTCCAAAGCCTGTCTGGGGCTGCTGCTTTTGGAGTGTGTGGTTGAAGTGGTGAAAAGGGACAGAAACCCAGACCGAGGTCCACTTGCCACACACCCTGGTAGGGGCTGCCATCTCCCAGAGGAAGTGGCACTTTTCTCTGTTTCACAAAACGATGCTCTGTGGCCTAGCGGTGGTCCTATCAGAACTACCAGACTCCAAAAATGCCTGATAAGACTCTGCCCTCCTCTCCCCTCACTTCACAGAAACAAAACACCAAACCCAAGCCGTTGCCATCGAGTGGCTTCCGACGCATGGCAACCCTACGTGCCATGGAGAAGAGTTGCTGCATAGGGTTCCCTTGAGTGTAATCTTTACAGATGCAGATCAACAGGACTTTCTTCCCAGATGTGAACCGCCAACCTTTCTGGTACCCACTTTGTGCCACCCAGAGATGGCTGGGCCCCACCTCAGACCCACGGAATTAGCCTTGCAAGGGCTGGGGCCTGAGTCTGCATTGTTAACTAGCCATCCTCCTCACCCCACCCCCTTCCCAACTGCATTCAAGTTCAAAGACTTCTGCCTTGGGATTGTGGACTTCAACTCCCTCTTTAGGAGCGTTGGTGTCGTAGTGGTTAAAGCACTGGGCTGTTAACCAAAAGGTCAGTAGTTCAAACCCACCAGCCACTCTGTGGGGGAAAGATGAGACAGTCTGCTACCACTGTAGCCATGGAGTCCCTGTGGGGCAGTTCTAGTCTGTTCTTCAAAAAAAAAACCAAACTCACTGCTGTCAAGTTAATGCCGATTCACAGCAACCCCTCCTTGGGTTTCTGAAGCGGTATCCCTACGGAAGTAGATTGCCCAATCTTCCTTCTGAGGCATGGCTGGTGGGTTTGAACCACCAGCCTTGTGGTTAACAGTCAAATGCCTTAGGCACTATGCTACCAGAGCTCCTGGTCTGTCCTAAAGGGTCATTATGAGTCAGAATCAACTCGATGGCAGTGGGTTTGGTTTTCTTTTTTCTTTTTTTGGTTTACACTCTCCCTGTTCCTCCATTTTTCAGAAACTTGAGGGAAGGGGGAGTCATTCATGAATCCTGATCCTGACCAATTTCCCAATTGGGGAAACTGAGTTCCTGGGAGGTGAAAAGAGTTGAAAACTCACAAAAGATTGAAATTGCCAGGGAGAATGTAAAAGATGAAGGAAATCAACATCCATTTAGCAGATGAAGAAACTGAGGCTCAGAGAGGGTAAGCAGTCACACAGCGACTCAGGCAAGTTCTGAAGCCAACTGTCATTCTTGGCCAGATGCACTAAACCACAGGTTCTCAAACAAGAGCAAGCATTAAAGTCACCTGGAGGGCTTGTTAAAACCCATGGCTGGGCCCGCCCCCAGAGTCTCTGATTCAGTCCATCTGGGTGGGGCTTGGGGAGCTGCACAGGGAACAAGTTCCCAGGTGAAGCTGTTGGCCCCAGAACCACACTTTGAAAGCCACTAGCTCAGGAGCTCTGGTGGTACATGGGTAAGGTGTATGGCTGTTAACCAGAAAGTTGGTGGTTTAAACCCACCAGCTGCTCCATGGGAGGAAGGTGAGGCAACTGGAAATCCTATGGGAGTCTCAGCTCAGTGGCTGTGGGTTTAGTTTTTGTTCCCCAGTATGTTTCTCTGAGAGAGAAACTGAAACTCTGAAAGGGAACAGACCCAGCCGGTACCAGGTCACACAGTATCTAGCGGACAGCCTAGAATCCCTTCCTGATTCCTGCAGGGAATTCTTTATCCAAAAAAATCCCCAAACCAAGCTCATTGCTGTGGAGGGTTGCTGCATAGGGTATTCCTGGCTGAAATCTTTATGGAAACAGATCACCAGAACGCTCCTCCATGGAGCTGCTGGGTGGGTTCGAACTGTCAACCTTCATGGAGATAAGCACAAACCCTTTGTGCCACCCAGGGACTTTACTCTTTCCCTGAGCAGCCCCTAATCACTTCTATGACAGCGTAACATGTACCGCCTACGGTGTCTCTGTGCTAATTCAGAAAAAGTTCCCTGTCCTCCCAGGCGGATGCAATCCTTGGCCAGGCGCCAGTGGCCGGGTTTGGAGACAAGACAGATGCCTGGCGAAATCTAAGGCAGAGGAGACTCAAGCCGGAAGGGAAGGGCTTCCTAGGGTCTGTGTGTACGTCTGTGTGTACGCTGGTAGACTGGAGACTGCAGGTGGAGGAAGGGCAGGGGCTGGCTCTTTGGTTCCTCACTCCTGTAGATAAGGGCGTAGACAGGCCTCAGCCAGGAGGAGACCGGAAAAGGTGAGCTTTCTCCACTGCTTGTCTCCCAACCTGCACCTTCGCACAGACTGGCCGTGGGTGGCTGCCTGCCGCTCCAGGGCCTCCAGGCCCCCCAGCACCCTCACCTCTCGGCCACCGACAGCACCCAGGCGGTGGTGAGCCACAGGCCAAGCGTGAGGCCGAGCAGCAGGCGGCCGGGGTGCGTGTTCATGTACAGCTTGGCCACAAACCAGTGGCGGAAGCGGACTTGGTTGAGCGCACCAATGCTGCGGTAGGACGCGTTGAGCAGGACGCCGCTGCGCAGGAGCACAGCGCGGGGTACCAGGTAGAGCCGCAGCAGCATGGCCAGCGACAGAAGCGCCTCCTCCTGGCTCAGGAAGCCAGGCCAGGTCTGCACCGCTCCCCGGGACGCGCCTGCGCCCTGCGCGCACAGCGGTCCCCGCACGGGTGCCGGGTGCAGCGCGCATATCACGAGCTCCACCACGATCTGCACCGCCTGCCGCCCAGTCAGCGCCACACGCCAGTCCCGGAGCCCGTTGTCCGTCATGAACAGCTGCGGAAAGGGGTCCGACAGGGAGCTAGGATCAGGCGAGGCCTGCCCCGCTGCACTGCGAGATAAGGGGGGTGCGCCCGCCCAGGCCGGGCAGACACGTGGAGGGCTGATAGCGCAGGGACCTGGCGGGGGGTGGGGGTGGGGGTGGGGGTGGGGTTTCGCGCTCCCTGCCTCTCAAGTTTCAGTCCACTTCCAGAACTTCCAGCCCATGAACACTTACTGAGCGCCTGCTGTGTGCACGGCACTGTTCCATGTGCCGCGAGATTACAGGGTGAATGAACAGCACAGACAGAACCCCAAGACTCCAAGGAGCTCACATCTCACAAGCCAGGAGCCCCTGCCTCCGCCTGTCTTTTCGGGCAGGTGTAGTAATTGTACGACGTTAGCCCACATTGAGTAGGCACGTTAGGTGTGCCAGGCTGACACATGCCCTAGACCTCCAATGACCGAGTGAACGGCACAACACTATGAGATTACATGATTCTTATCCCAAAGGAGCTCTGGTGGCATAGTGGTTAGGGCATTTGGCTGCTAACCAGAAGGTCAGTAGTTCAAACCCACCAGCCGCTCTGCACAAGGAAGATGGGGCCATCTACTTCTGTAAAGATTTACAGCCTTGGAAACCCAGCGTTGGTCGCTATGAGTCGGAATCGACTCAATGGCAGTGAGTTTGGCTTGTTTTTCGTTTATCCCCATCTTACAGAGAAGGAAACTGAGGCCCAGAGACGTGAAGGGATTGGTTCCCAGCCCCTCAGCAGTAGCACAGCTGGGCTACAAACCCAGGTTACTTAACCGCTTGGATGATTATTATTACTGATAATGTGCACTTACTACTGAGCACTTCCTATGTGCTTGGTGCTGCAGGGGGCTTTACTTCGCCTTAATAACCCCCATTTCATAGCGGAAGGCACTGGGGGTGGGTGGGGGAAGGGGTGTGGGGCAACAGGACCTAGGGAGATGGGGGCTGGGATGTGAGGGATGGGGCGGGTGGGGGGGAGATTGGCAGGGAGGTGGGATCAGGTGTGGGGAAGGACCTGAGGACCCATTGTTGGGATCTTGCGCTGCTTGGGCTTGGGCTTGATGGCAAATGAACCAGGGATGGAAGACTGGGATCGGGGAGGTGGGGCCTGGGGTGAGGCTGCCTCAGGGATGGTGGAGAGATTCCTGGGGAGCTGGGCTGGGCCGTATGCAAGGGGAGGCTGGGGGCTGCAGGTGCCAGAAGGCTGAAGCTACTCCAAGAGGCTCTGTCTGTTTGTCTGTCTTGTCTGTTCATCCCCTCCTGACGGGGGAGGGTGTGGACACATCTCAGGGTAGAGGAACCTCATTACTCAGGAGGAGAAGGAGACGGATGGAAAGTGTGAGCTGACAGCGCATGGTGGGGGCTGGGGGGGCGGCGAGGAAGGGGCTCAGAGCCAAGGCCTCTCCTACCTGGACTTCTTTGGCGTGAAAGGCCAGGATAAGGCAAAGGAGGAAGAAGGTGGAAATGCTGATCATGCATTTAACCAGGAACAGGTAGAGCGCCCACTGTTGGGGAGGGATAGAAAAGGGAAGTGAGAGCTCAGGTTCTACCTGGTCTGTTGCCTCTTCCCTCTGAACCTCCATCCCATCTCAATTCCCAATTTCCTCGCCTTCTTCCCCAGCTGAACCAGTTTCTGCTGATGTCTCAGTTCCAAGGAAGTCTCAAAACCATCACCTGGTTCCGAGGGGCGTAATCTCTTCCTTCCCAGGTGGACAGCCCTGACCCAGGCACTGGTGTCCACCCTCCTCTTCAGCTCTCTTCCTAAGACCTACACCTCTGAAGGGACTCCTTGAAACTCCCATTGCCCCAGCTCCCTTTCCCACCAAAAATAGTTCCTCAGCCCTGATGAGATGGGGAGGAGGGGATCTAGAAACAGACATCTGGCCTCCAGAGAAGGTCCCCTCCCCTTCCTTTCTTGCCCAACTGGTCCTGCCATGCAAGCCAACTTCAGCTGGCCCCCACCCAATTCCAGAGGAGCCTAGAAACTATCATTCAGTCCCCAAGGAATGAGTGACACCTGCCCTACTCTCTCTCCTTCAGGGGGCTGAGTCCCTGAGGCTCCAGCCGCAGCGCAGACAGGGCCCCCAGTCCTGCCCCCTGTGTCGTCTCTTCCCCTCCCTCCTGCCCTCTCTCCTGGCTCCAAGCCCAGGGCAGATCTGGCCGGAAGCACAGCACTTCCAGAAACCACAGAGAAGTAAGGTTTTTTTCTTTTTTTTTTTTTTCCTCTCTTTGTGTGGCAATACCTTGGAAGAATCTAGAATTCTAGAGGGAGAGATTTAGAGGCACCGAGACTTCTGAATTCCCTAGGAAGGACTGCAAGGAGCCCCTGCCTGGGGCGGGGGGTGTCATCAGGGGGAGTGGGCCACCTGGGCTCCCATGCCGAGCCCAGCACACACCTGTTTCTTCTACCACGGATGCCAGCTTCCCTGGGCTGGCTAAGGCCCTGCCTCTGAACAGGGGAAGAGGGCCAGTTTCCTGCTCCCAGGGGGGGCCTGCCCCCCTGCCCTGCCCCTGAACAATGGGACTCTTGTCTCCAGCCTTCTCCCACCTCCTTCATCCTTCTCTGGCTCCCCATTTCCTTGTCTCTTTCTTTAGTTTGTCCCAAACTCCACCCCATAAACATGACCCTCCCCCCCAATACAGTTCACTTCTCTGTGGTCCTGTTTTTGCAGGTCTCCTGCCTTTAAATCCCAGCCCTGTTTGCACCCTGACCTCTATTTCTGACTCTGAGTTTTCTGGTCTTCTCCTTCTGTTTGGGTTTTGAGTGTTCATCACCAGTAGATGTAATCTCTTCTCTTTTCTCCTTCTGCACCTGTCTCTGTGGGTGTCTCCCATCTCTCTCCATCTCTGTCTCTCTCTCTGTTCCCCTCGTCATCCCTCTCCCTGTACCCCACTGATACCACTATCTCTGTGTGCCCCCAGGGTTTGGCACCCCCCTCCCCTCCAGCCCATGCCCTTGGGTAGCAGGTGTCTGTGGGGCCCTGCAGGATGGGTCCCTTAGCCTGAGATGGAGGTGGGGAGAAGTCATGGTTGTTCCAAGGTAGCCCTAGAAAGGGTGCTGACGATCAGGACCCTCGGGGTCATGCATTTCAACCCTCGCCCCCCGGGGAGCTGCCACAGTGAACCCAGGGTCTCAGTGCCGCAGCCAGTGGCCTGGCCAGGTACCCACCCCCCACCCCCGGCCCAGGCACATACCCCCACCTCCTCTGCTGGGCGGGTACCGAGCGTGGGAGCGGTGGGTAGGCCCTGGCCATGCTTCCTGTTGGCATGGAGTTCGGAGGCCCCACCCCCCCAGTGCCCGCTGCCCTTGCCTTGGCTGGCCTGGCCAGAGGAAGCCTGCCTGCCCCGACCTCCATGTGGCACTTTAGAGCCACCCGCAAATCCAGCCTGCGCCTCAATTGCTCAGGAACCCTTCCAACTAACCTTCAAACCAGGCCTCCTTCCACCTTCTTCCCAGCTCTCAGCCCAGACAGGTCTCCAAACCTATCTCTCCTGTTGAGCAATTCTGCTCTCCCCTTGAACCCTGATTCTGATCTCTGTCCTCAGCCTGCCCGCATGGCTGCCCTGACCAGGGCTGGAATGTGCTGGAACCTGCTGAGACCCGTCCTGGTTCAACCTGTCCTTTTCCTCTCCACTCACCACCATGGTCAAAGTCAGCTCCCTCATCCCCACAGACCCTCTGAAGCCCCTCCTCCCTCAGACCCAGGAGTCCCAGCTCCCTCCTCCTCAGGGACTTCCCAGGCTAGGTACCATACAGATTCCGGGACACCTGAGTTCCTCAGCGTTGGGGACTCGGGTGGATGAGTTTATTGGCCCTTTCCCACCTCCACCCCCAGCCAGTTTCTCCCGAGCTCTGCTCTTTGCTTCTGTGGCCCTGGGTTAGAGGTTAGATAAGGACCTGAGGAGCCTCCACCTACCAGAAGAAGTCAGTTTTCCTTCCCACCCTCCCTGCACCAAATCTGGGTGACCTCTCCCCTAATCCACCCCTGGGAGACTCAATAGTCTGGGGGTCCTGGACCTTCAGTCTTCTCAGGTCAACCCTTTCCAAGACTGAAACCCTGTCATCTTGCCCTGTTCTTGCAGAGTCTCCAGCATGTAACTCTCCCAAGACTCAGGAGCCAATCCCCAAGCCCTTTCCCGTTCCAGACCCAGAAGTTCCCGCCCCCATCCCCCTCATCCCTCAGACCCACGAGTCCAGACCCCCTGCGCTTCCTTCCTCAGACCTAGGAGTCTGAGCACCCCGCCTCCTCCTCCTTCAGACCCAGGGGCCCACACCACCCACCTCCTTCTCCCTCAAACCCAGGGGTCCACACCCCCATCCCCCTCCTCCCTCAGACCCAGGGGTCCAGCTCCCCCCTCCTCCCTCAGACCCAGGGGTCCAGGCACCCTGCCTCCTCCTCCTTCAGACCCAGGGGCCCACACCGCCCGCCGCCTCCTCCCTCAAACTCAGGAGTCCACACCCCCATCCCCCTCCTCCCTCAGACCCAGGGGTCCAGGCACCCCGCCTCCTCCTCCCTCAGACCCAGGGGTCCAGGCCCCCGCCTCCTGCGCCCCAGCACCAGGGCTTCACTCACCGGGCAGCCCCCGAACCACAGCATCTCCGCGTGCAGCACCATCAGGCCAATGCCAGTTCCCGCCAGCACCAGCGCCCAGCCCGCCAGGCACTTCTCCTGCTCCAGCAGGCGCTTTCGCCGCTGCAGGGCCCCCAGGCCCGGCACCAGCTCCCCGCCCATGGCCCCCGGGGTCTTGGGGCTCAGCCAGCTTCCCGCCCAGGGCCCTCCACCTCGCAGCACGCAAAGGGCAGCCACTGTGGCTTGCAGGTTGTCGGCCTGCTGTGTTCCCTCTGGGGCTCTGGCTCTGAGGCACCGTGGAGCACTATGCCCTCTGGGGGGTGGTGACGGTTGGGCAGGGCAGGGAGGGGCCTGGGACGCCCCTGGGCAGGGAGGGGGGTGGCGTGAAGGCTCCCCAACCCCCCTTCCCAGACCAAGGGTGTGTCTCCAGGCACAACAAGGAAGAGGTGTCCATCCTCCGGGACAAAGACACACATGACACACAGTGGGCTTTGTCACACACAACGGTCTGTCCACACTGTGTGTGATGATACACACTCCCCCTTGGCCACACCCAGACACCACAGGACACGTGGCGGTGGGTGATAAACCCTCACACACAACTCCGCAGAAGACGGAACCGAACTACATGGATCCACAACACAACCTCCACAGGGTGACTCACAATGCCCGACAAGCTCTGAAACCCACAGCCACACCCAGACACAGACACACGGTGTGACACACACCACCGTTCAGCCAGAAGGGCAGTGTCCTGTGGTGTGCGTGGCCACCCAAGTATTGTCAACACACAGACACAAACATGGCACTCAATAGTGGCATGGCATTCTCTGGTACCAGCGGCCACACCCAAACATGTCCATGGCACACAAACACAACATACCCAGGGTGGTACGCAATACACAATCAGCATTGGCACAGCACTACCCAAATGCCACACACACAACACCTGCACAATCAATGTGCTCACGCTCCCAAACATTATGCAGTCGTGGCATGACCCTGACACGGGCAGACACACAACATGGAGGGACACACTCATGCACCTGGGCAGCCCAAGCACCCAGCACAAGGCACATGGCAACTTGGACAGCTATGCACACAGGGTGATTCACAGCAAAGGCTGATTCACTGAGATACACGCTCTAACCTGGTGCACAAGGAGGTTCGATTTTACAGTCACAGAACAATGAGAATGGGCCCACTCAGAGACCTACAGTAGCCAATGACACGCATTAATGCACACCGCACATGCCCAAGGGGAGGTATTCCGATGTATTTTGGCTCACCACATGGGACACACCCCAGAACGACGCTCCAGGCCACAGGCAGCATGGCCACCAACACCCAAACGCGGCACACAGAGTAAAACACGCCCAACAACCTGCAGCCCACAAGCCACACCTGAACACCACCTACAGCACTCACACATAGCACAGCACATGCCAGATTCCCAACACACGTGGCTACATAGATACAACATATACAGAGTAATAGACAGGCAGTGACACAATACGACATGAACACCGTGACACAAAACACAAAAAACTACACAAACACATAGTTACAGAAAAGTACGCAAACACAAAAATACAAACTACACAAACACATGGTTACACAAAACTACACAAACACAGTGGCATGAAACTACAGAAACACAAAAATACAAAGTACACAAACAAATGGTTACACAGAACTACACACAGTGACACAAAACTACACAAACACAAAGTACACAGAACTACACAAACACATGGTTATACAAAACACAAACACAGTGGTGCAAAATGACACAAACCAATGGTGACACAAAGCTTTACAAATACAAGGTGATAGAGAACTACACAAATACACTGTGACACAAAACTCCACAAACACATGGTGACACAACCCTTCATGAACATAAGTTGGTACAAAACTAAACACAAGCTAACACAAAATCTACACAAACACCCAGTGAGACAAAATACACTGACACAACATTTCCCAACAGAACCTTCTACAAACATGTTTCACAAAGACAGAAAATGTGACCCACTGCCCCAGCTGACACCCGGTCCTGCAACAACACCATGTACAACACAGGGGGACACACTCCAACCCATGTTAGCACACAGTCACACAAACACAACACAACACATTCTTAGTGGGGGAAAAGGAAGAGACTCCTACATGGACCCTGAAATCAGATATAGTGTCACACAGGGTGACACAATACTACACAAGCCAGGCGCACACACAAAAAAAAAACCAGCACACACTGATACACACACAGCAAATGCAATGTAGAATGATGTGGCTGAGTCCTGAGTGACACCCAGGGACACTGGTGACAGCAGCATAGATCGCTCCCCGATCTGTGCTCCGGACATGTGGGCACAGACCAAGACCCTCCTACAGCATGACAGAGACACACTGACATGACACCAAGTACCTCCAAGTTCAGAGTGACTCGCACAGCATCCCACACTGCTCTTGGGACATGGGCAGGGTGCAGGAGAGGGTCTTGTGGACACCACACTTGGAGAAAGAGCTGTAAACCCCTCCACCACCACCTCATGCCCCAGGCCATGCAGGGAGGTGGACCCACCAGCCACAGGGAAATGAGACACTCACCAACAGACATGTCTGGCAACACACCAACACGACTCACACAGACACACCCGGAGACACCAAACCACACATAGACACGCCCAGTGACAGAAACACACACCATGCTGCTGCCCCACCCCAAATCCCATACATGGTTTCTACTCGGACCCAGACACAACATCTGGGGAGGGACGGAGACACACCCGGCTGATCCCAGACACTACACACGTGTCCGCTGAGAAGCCTGGCCTACCCGTCCTTCTGTCTGCACCTCTGTCCAGCTTTCTGGGGCTCTTCCTGACGTCTTCCACTCTGAAGCCCTCTGGGTTTGTCTTCATCTCCATCCCCCTCTGTCTTTCTCTTTCCCTCCTTGTGCCTTTATTCTGCTCCATCTCTATCTTTCTAAGTATCTCTGTGCCTCTCTGTCCATTTCTCTGTGTCTGTTGGTTTTTCTCTGTCTCTCTTCTTTGTCTGTATCTCTGCCTGCATCCCTCCCTGGTTTTCCATCTTCTTCTCTCCCTCTCTGCCACTCTCTCTCTGCCCCCCGTCCCTCTCGGTGTTCATCTCTGCCTGTGTCTCTGGCTTCCTATCTCTCTCAGTTGCTTGCTCTCCGGCTCCATCCCTGTCTGTGCTCTGTGTTTCTGGCTCTGTCTCACACTGACTCTCTGACTCCCTCTATCTCTGTCCGTGTCTGTCTTCCTCTGACTCATTCTCTCCCTGCCTCCAGATCCTCTCCTGGGTCTCTCTTAGCCTCTCTGTGCTTGTCTCTGCCTCAGTTTCTCTTTCCTGTTCACCAGCACAGCTGGGACTTCCTCATCCTTCCAGTTCCATCCCTGCCTCACTCAGAGGCCAAGGGCCAGATGGACGGGACACAGAGCCAGCACCTGCTGGAGCAAGTCGGTGGCCATGAAACAGAGACCTTCTTTCATGCCTGTTTGTGAAGAACTGACACAGGACTTACAGACAGACCTTTTTTCATTTTTTAACATTTATCATTTATTTGATTTTGTTGTTGAGAATATACACAGCAGAACATACATCAATTCAAGCATTTCAATTCAGTGACAGTGATGGCATTCTTTGAGTTGAATCAGAGAGATGTTCAGTGACACAGCCAGAGAGAGGGACAGACAGAGACAGAGAAAGAAAAGGAGAGTGTCATGGAGTGAATTGTGTCCCCTAAAAATGTGTCAACTTGGCTCGACTGTGATTGTCTGTATTCTGTAATTGTCCTCTATTTTGTGATCTGATGTAATTATCCTATGTGTTGTAAATCCTAACCTCTATGATATTAATGAGGCAGGATACAATCTACATGATTGGCTTGTGTTTTGAGACCAGTCTTGTCTGAGATATAAAAGAGTTTAAACAAGTGAGCAGAGATCAGAGAGACCTACTACCACCAAGAAAGAAGGGCCAAGAGCGGAGCTCATTCTTTGGACCCAAGGTCCCTTTGCTGGGAACCTCCTAGACCCAGGCGAAGACTGATGCCAAGACACCTGGAACTCTCCAAGGAAAACACAGCCCACAGATGTTGAAAGGAGATAAGGACGTTCCCCCAGAGATGACAAAGAGGGAAAGCCTTCCCTGAGAGCTGGCACCCTAAATTCAGACTTCTAGCTTCCTAAACTGGGAGAGAAGAAATTTCTGTTTGTTAAGGCCACCTATTTGTAGTATTCCTGTCAGAGTGGCACTAGAGAACTAAGACAGAGAGAGAGAGAGAGGGAGACAGAAAGAAAGAGAGAGGAGAGATGAGGGAAGAGAGAGAAAGGAGAGAGGAGACAGAAAAAAGGGAAGAGGGGGAGAGAGAGACAGAGAAAGGCAAACAATCGAACACATGAGAGAAAGACCCAGAGGCGAAAAGGAAGCAGTAGAAGTTAGAGCAGGGAGAGATTATGGTCTCTAGACAGATCACAATTAAAAATGAACAAGAAAGCCTGAGAGTGGGAGATGCCAGGTGGGCAGGGATGGGGTCACAGTGGGAAGGGCACCTGCCTCCACCAGGAAGTTCTGAGCTGTGGGATCAGTTGGAGGACACACAGCTCCAAAGCCAGTTCCCTCCACCCCTGGGGGGAGTAGGGGTGACTCAGAGCCCCAGAGCTTCCTGTAACTCAGCATTGGTCTCAACCCTACAGGGGATGTGGGGGGAGAGGAGTTTCTGCAGAAGGAGGGAGGGGAAATACCAGAGGACCTCAGTGCGGAGGTCAGCCCTGATAGGAGGGCACCCGGTCACTTGGGCCTTTGAGAGAAGGAGGGGGCTGGGAGTGTGGACTCGAACTGGAACTCCTGGGTCTGAGGGAGGAAGGGGCTGGGGGCTGGCCTCTTGGGTTCCCGAAGGTTGGAATAACTGATTCCAAAGTCCCTGGGACTTTTCCTTGGCCTTGTCCCAGCTGCCACACCTTCGTCTCAGCCCCATCTCCGGGCCTGGAAGAGACCCAGTGCCTGGGGCCCAGCCGGAAGGGGCCAAGGACAAAGGATTGTTTAACTGGGCAGGGTGGCAGAAGGGAGTGAAGAAGGCGGTGTCTCGGGCAGAAAGGTCACTCATCGCCTGGGGCTTGTGCAGGGTGGGGAGGCGAGACTGAGCCCCTAGAAAGTCAGATGTCTGAGGCAGCAAATCTTTCACCACTGTCTCCGACCAGGGAGCATTTGGAGGCTTCAGTGCATGGGATACT